TCTGGGCAACACTTAAATTCAATCAATTCATCATAATTCACATAAAATTCAAAACCAAAATACAAACAATTAATTAAATTAATTAAACAATCATACTATGAATCTATAATTTAATATTATAATTAATTAAATTTCTAATCATTTAATTAAGTATTGTACTAATGTTTACAATGAAATATTATAATTAATTAAGTAATCATACTACAAATCTATAATGTAATGTTATAATTAATTAAATTTTTAATCATTTAATTAAGTAATGTACTAATGTAGTAAATTATAATGTTTATAATGTAATGTTATAAATTTATAATTAATTAAGTAATCAGTTAACAATATAATGTTATAATTAATTAAGTGATTATAATATAATGTAATGTTATTATTAATTAAGTAATTATTTAATTATAATATAATGTTATAATTAATTAAATTTCTAATCATTTACTTAGATATTGTGCTAATGTAGTAAATTACTAATGTTTATAATAGAATGTTATAATTAATTAAGTAATCATTTTATTATACAATGTTGTAATTAATTATGTGATCATATTATAATATAATGTTATAATGAATTAAGTAATCATACTATAAATCTTTAATATAATATTATAATTAATTAAAATTTTAATTATTTAATTAAGTATTGTACTAATGTTTATAATGGAATGTTATAATTAATTAAGTAATTATTTTTTTATAACGTAATGTTATAATTAATTAAGTAATTATACTATAAATTTATAATGTAATGTTATAAATAATTAAATTTTTAATAATTTAATTAAGTATTGCACTAATGTAGTAAATTATTAATGTTTATAATTAATTATGTGATCATATTATAATGTAATGTTATAATGAATTAAGTAATCATATTATAAATCTTTAATGTAATATTATATTTAATTAATTTTTTAATTATTTAATTAAGTATTGTACTAATGTTTATAATGGAATGTTATAATTAATTAACTAATCATTTAATTAAGTAATCATTTTTTTATAATGTAATGTTATAATTAATTAAATAATTATACTATAAATCTATAATGTAATGTTATAATTAATTAAATTTCTAATTATTTAGTAAAGTAATGTACTAAATTACTAATGTAATGTTATAAACTTATAATTAATTAAGTAATCATTTAACTAGTAATGTATTAATATTTATCAATTTATTTTATATAATTAATTAATTACTAATTCACCACACATATACTTAGAACTTGATAATTGAACTAAATAACTAAATATTATATTATTATTCAATCAAATATACTATTGTATTTAAAAATAATTCTTTTTATAACATTAAAATACTTTTAATTGGTCCTAATTCAATTATACAGTTAATCGGTCAAAACTTCAATATTAATATATTATAACATATTAAAGTTTTTTATATGGTGCAGTTTATATGTAATAAGTATAATTGTATATTTATTTAATTAGGTTATTGTAAAAATTTAACTTTTTCCATTTCAATTTTTTATGTAAAATTACAATAGATCTCCCATTCTTCACAAATATTTCATTTCAATCTAGGTTCCAAAACAAGGTACTCGTTGCAGGTTCCAACCTAGGTACCAGCTGCAAGTTCTATTTTCTAGGTTCTAGAGGAATCAGAACCGCACAATGTCGGTTCCAAAAAAATGGACTCGGAACCTACCTACACAGTGTTAGTTCCAAGTAGGTTTCTATTCCGATTATGGTTGTACCTGCTACTCGTGCTCACCCTTAAATGAGAGAGGAGACTAAGTAAAAATCCCTATTACGAGTAGATATATAAGTGGTCCAGATTGACGGTTTGAGAGAGGACTAAAATTCTTTAACAAAGACAGCTTTCCACTATTGCTTACTTGCCCACTTACTTCCAAGTATAAAGGCTGCTTGGCTTCTGAATAACATTAATATACCCATTTTCAATGAAATTTCCTCCTTGTTTGAATTTGTCTCTTTCTCAATTGAGTCCAAGTTTATAAATACCATCTGGCTTCTCTTTGAAAAAGCAAAATACTACATTGTTCATTTCCAGCCTTTGAGTCGCATTATTTCCCCTTTTGGCAACAAAAAAGGTAAGTCTTAGATCGAAGTTTATTTTGTAATATGCAGCCTGCCACTGCCTGCCACTGCCATTATCATGGTTATGAGTCATTAGTTTGCTTGTTATCATAAAAACAAAATGAAAGTTTAACCTTATAAGCATATTTTTTGTATACTAGTTCGACAAATATATATTTCATGAAATATGATAAAATCTTATATAGCACAGTCTTATTTTCTTTCTTGTATTTTTCAGTAAGTAGGAATTGTGTAAGTTAATCCTTACCATACCGATTGTGTGGTGTGATAATCAGAGTGCTGGATCTCTTGCCTCAAATCCAGTATTTCATGCTAGGACCAAGCATATTGAGCTGGATGTTCACTACATCAGGGAACAAGTTATTGCTAACAACTTAAAAGTCCAATATGTTTCAACTGAGCACCAAAAAGCTGACATCTTCACCAAATCACTGTCAGCCTCACGATTTGAAATTCTTAGAGAAAAACTGACAGTAGCTGCTTCTCCTGTGAAAGCTGATGAGAAAGCTGATGTGAATTTGTGTAACTCTGAAAAAGAAACTGAAGAAAAAAAAAAAGTGATAGTGTTCTAAAGTATTCTGATGATCTTTAGTTGCTAAGTTGAAAAATTATAGTGATTAGAGAAGATGTGATATTGTTCCAAATGGTCTGTGCTGATATGTGCTCTGCTGTGTTCTGCTGGTGTCCAAATGGTCTGTGCTGATCTGTGCTCTGCTAGTGTCCAAATGGTGTTGAATGATACTGCTTGAATGTTGCATTAGTACTTGGCTGGTGACTGTTACTCCAGTGCAGAAATGTACTGATATGTGGGATGTGCAGTTTTGATTCTACTTGTATTCAGTGCTTTGCTGGTTGGTGCTCTACTGGTTGGTGCTCTGCTGGTTGGTGTCTCTACAGAGAAGAAATGACTGATATGTGTGGTTTGTAATTGCTTGAATAATGCTTGCAGGTGTTGAATGAAAATGCTTTGAGCAGGTGTATACTGTTAGTTCTAGTAAGTGTGCAGAAAAACAATCTGGAAATTGATAAGTGGGCAGCTGAATGATAATGCTTTGACGATGTGGTGTGTATTGCAGGTGTATACTGCTAGTTGTAGTAAGTATGCAGAAAAACAATCTGGAAGTTGATAATGTGGTGTGTATGGCAGGTGTATATTGTCAGTGTAGTTATTATGACAACTTGGAAGTGATAAATTGGCAAAACTCCCAGTTCAGTTTATGGAAGTTGATAATGTGGTGTGTATTGCAGGTGTATACTGTCAGTGTAGTTATTATGACAACTTGGAAGTGATAAATTGGCAAAACTCCCAGTTCAGTTTATGGGAGGATGTTAATGTAGTTGACTAAGTAAGTAATGAGAACTCCCAGTTTAGTTTACGGGAGGATGTTAATGAAAAAGGAAAATGTGTTTAGTTATTAATCTGCTACAGTTAGGATTGTTCAGTTTACTAAGTTGTTAGCAATTTGTTACAGCAGTTAGATTCAGTTACACTTTAGTTACACTTCAATGCTTTTGTTAACAGAGCACTATAAAAGTGCTACCTACTGTACAGTTATTTTTTAAGCTGAATAATAATACAATTCACGTGAGCTTCTTTGGCTTTCCTTCACTTTACTTTTTCTTTTCTTCTCTCAAGTTTAGTTGAAGAACTGATATATCCGAATATGAATATTGAATATTACAAGTCAAACGAATAGTATTATGAATAAGTATTGATCTTTTTTTCAAAGCCCAGTTGCTTACTAAATCAATGAGTGAAGAGAAGAAAGAAAATTACTGACAGAGAGAGACTTCTTCCAAAACAAATTCAAAGGAAAACGGAAGAAACAAATAAATTAAGAGTCTCTCGGTTTTAGGCATAAAGACGAAAAACAAACATTTTATGCTTGCGGAACTTTGAGGGAAAATGATAACCAAAGAAGCAGAATAAAGCCAAAAAAGATATTCTTTGGTTTTGTGAATTCTAAGAAAAAACTAAAATACGAAAATTCCACGCGTTTAAGTTCTTGCCACTGCTTGTATACAAATGTCAAATTTTTGAGGCCATACTTTAAGATTCTTTGAGATTCATAAATTAATTGACACATTTTTTCATACAATAATTATGTAATGTGACAAAAGTTTAACGTTTAATCTAAATTCATTAGTTAATATCGAATTAATATAACAGGTTGTTACGTTAATCTTTTAGGTGGTATGACAATTTAACAGGTTATTATATTTGTGGAAAAAGCCTTTAATTCCTGAGTGAATGAATCTTTGAACAAGTTTAATATGAAGCACATTAAACGCCAGTTGACAATAAGTTGAAGCATATTCGAGAGCATATACAGCTGAGTCAACAGCCGCGGTTTAATTATTTTGACACAACCACAATTCTTTTGACAGAGATAGCTATCTACTCGGCCACTTAATTCCAGACTCTCGATTACTTTACCAAGATTTTCAAAGCAACTTCCTTCTAACTTCTAAGTAATTATCGTCTAGCTTTTGTTTGAATGTGTCAATGATTAATCGTCTCTTGGTCAATTTGACTGAAGTCTATAAATATCAGCTGGCCTCTCCTTAAAAGAGCACATTACTGCATTCTTAATTTAAAAAAATTTCAGCTTCGAAGTCGCATTATTGTTTTCTTTTGGGCACCAAAAGAGGTGAGGGATTTCATCTAAGTTTCTGTTGTTATATACTAATGCATGTTAATATCATAAAATCATATTGTATTTTCATAACCCGACATTTAAAGACCAAGTTTAATTAATTTATAATAACCACTTGACATTATATATTTAATCATACCAAATTTCCATTCAGTGATGCAAGGCTAAGTGCATGTAGTCCTTGGAAATTCTTTTTCCAGTTTACTAATCATCAGCTGATGTTTCTTTCTTGCATTTTTTTTTTATAAATAGCAGGCACTATAAAATTCTTCACTAGATCGTTGCAAAAGAAAAAGTAGAGTAATGGATGACATAGCAAAGAACTGGAAAGAACTAAGTGGGGAGAATGACTGGGAAGGTCTATTGGATCCTCTCAACATCAATCTTCGCCAGTATATAATTCACTACGGCGAAAGGGTTCAAGCTGTTTATGACTCCTTCAATTACGATAAGACTTCTGGGTCGTATGGATTTCCTCTATACGCCCCGAAAGATATCTTCTCTAACGTTGGCCTAGAGAAAGGAAATTCTTACCACTACACGGTGACCAACTATATCTATGCAATGATAGATATTGATTCCAATTTTGATGGGATTGTCAAGGGCCAATCTACTTGGATTGGTTACGTGGCTGTGGCCACAGACGAAGGAAAGGCTACGTTAGGAAGAAGAGACATTTTGATTTCTTGGAGAGGAACTCTGTTGGCCAAGGAATGGTTAAAAGATATTGATTGGCCTCTAACTTCAGATTCAAACATACTTGGGGGCACTTATGATCTTCAGCCTCAGGTGCACAAGGGATTTCACTCGCTCTACACATCACATGACACCAAATCTGAATACAATAAATTCAGTGCAAGCGAACAGGTATTTATTTTCCGCGATATATTAAATGATAATATTTAACTTTTACCCAATATTTTAATTTTTTTCGATAACCAATTAATAATTTATTATACATGCAGGTTCTGAGTTCAGTAAAGAAACTAGTTGATAAATACAAAGACGAGGAAATTAGTATTACAATAACTGGACACAGCTTGGGTTCAGCGCTTGCCACATTGAATGCAGCTGAAATAGTTTCGAAAGGATATAATAAGCCCACAGGATCAGATAAAGCATGCATAGTGACAGCTTTCGTGTTTGCAAGCCCTAAGGTTGGAGACAAAGGCTTCAAGACTGCATTCAATGGACTTGAAAATCTTCATCTCTTGCGCATCAGAAATATCGACGACATAGTTCCGACGTTGCCTACTAAATTTCCTTTCTTCTTCTACTTTGAAGTGGGAAAAGAGTTAACAATTGACACTACCAAGTCCACATACGTGAATGTTGATAAGGCTAAGCTAATAGAAGTTTTGCATAACTTGGAGAATTATCTCCATGGAGTTGCAGGGACAACTGACGAGAGTGGTGAATTTACGTTGATAATTAAACGTGATGTTGCACTGATGAACAAATGGTCAAATATTTTGAAGAGCGAATTTGGAGTACCACCTGAATGGTGGCATCCTATAATGAACAAAAGAATGGTTCAACAGGGCAATGGATTTTGGAAGTTGGAAAATTATGTGCCGGAGCAACCCAGGGCCTAAGATTAATGGAGATTTGTGTCACTACTTAAGGTTGCTCAAACACTAATAAAGAGACGTGGATCTGTGGCGGGAATAATTAATTGCCATTGGAGGAGTCAGCTGGAGGTTTCCTTAGCTCATTAAAGATTTGTTTAATGTCCTTTTTTGTTCATTTTTTTTTTTTCCTTAAATATATCTTTTTTATGTGAGTAATGTTTGATTTGTGATTAAATAATTTTGTGATGGAGAAAAAAATAATAAAAAGTAATTATTTTAATATAATCACAAATAATGAACTATTTACCATGAGCAACATACAGATAGTAGCTATCCACGTAAAATAAAATAAATCGTATCAAATGATTATACGACATCGTAAGCGACAACAAAGATATATAAGTGAAAGAAATTAAACATATATTATTTATTTACAATAAAATAGAAGATCACAAATTAATTATTTTTTCCATTTGTAACTTAGAATACTAATAATTTTGCTGAGAAAATCCAGACCTGGCAAACTGGTGGGCCGGGCGGATATGGGTTCAATAGTTACAGATAACGGGTAAAACGGATCTGAGTTTACGGGTAAAAATTGTTTACAGGTACGAAAATACATGACTCGTGCAAGTACGGGCCGGCCCGCAGTTCACCCCTTTATTCTACTTTTTAAAACTTTTTTTCTCCTATTTTTATTTTTAAGTTTTCCTCTCGTCTATTCTTTACTCCAAATATTTCTCTTTCATCTTCGTCTTCTTCCTCCTCCTCTCTCCAATTCTTCTTCGTCTTTTTCTCCCTCTCCACTTTTTTATATTTCTTCTTCTTCTTCTCCCTCTCCCCAATTCTTCTTCGTCTTTTTCTCCCTCTCCACTTTCTCATATTTCTTCTTCTTCTTCAGTCTTCACCCTTCAATTCTTCTTTGTCTTCTTCTTCTTCCTCTCTCCTACTTTAAAGAGATTCAAGTTTTTTCCTCTTCCATTTTTTTTCCTTTGTTCTTTGTGTCTCATTTTCCATTTTCCCTTTGTCTTTTATAAACTAAATATATTATAGATCTATAATCTCTACTGTCGCCACTGGTGAGGGTAAGCATGTGTTGGCGCCGTGGAAGGCTGCCGGCGAATGGCAACCACTTCACGGCTTGATCCATGCCTTCTCTTGTTGATATGTGGTTTATATTTGTTGGTTTGAATGTTGATTTGTGGATTGTGGTTTATTTTTATTGGTATGAATGTTGATTTGCAAGTTTTTCTTTGTTAATATTATTGATTTGTTGTTTGAGATTTAAAGATTTCTTTCTTCTTCAGTCTTCATTTCACCTTTGTTTTTTTGTTTTGTCCGGGTACCCGCGGGTATCATCCGACCCGTTCGTTATTTTTCACAAGCGGGTCGGGTACAGATAAACCTTATACAGGTAATTATTTTGGTTACCCGTACTGGGTACCCGCGGACCCACGGGTACGGATCCAAGTTTGCCGGGCCTAAATTGATATCTGGAGCGGTATCAACACACCAAAACCAATATATTATTGTCACAAGATTTTTAAATTAATAACTACCAACTACAGTCATGATAAAAGATGGATGAACATAATATTTCAATATTATTTAACATGTTTTCTAATTTTCTTTTTCATTTTAAGGGAAACACTGGGACACTTTGTTCATTCCAGAAAAAGTTACCAGGATCAACTGCAGTCTTTACCTGAACCAGTCTTCTGAAATTCTTCTTGAAATACTTCAAACCCCAAATGTTTGCCCGTGCATAGCTTGTATTGCCATTCTTATTCCTTCCCAAATCAAGATCTCTGTAGCCGAGGTATGCAGCTCTCGGAGCCTTTGAAACATAAGGTTTCATATATTCATAAAGCCTTCTGATCCAGCCGGTGTGCTTCGCTGATTCATCTTCAATACTCCATGTCACCAAATACTGGATTTTGTATAAATTTCCAATCCTGTGCGGAAATGGGATTTCCGTATCAGAAATCTCACTCATTTTTCCTCCATAAGGTGTCAAAATCAGATATGATGTCTCTTCTTCAAGAAGCCTTTTGTATAGCCCGTCCAACCCAGTTTCGGAAATCGGTTCTTCCACATAATCAGATTTCGCCTTGAAGAACCCCTTGAATTGCGTAGTTCTATCAAGCAAAACTTCTAGAGAATCATGAGTTGAGAAGCCGGCGAAATAGAGAACAGACTGAATCCAATCCATTTCAGTGCAGTTTTCACGCATTAAACCCAATTCAGGGAAACTTTCTTGCATCAAAGGTATGAGATTTTCAGCCCCACCAAGATACAAGGACACAAATGAAACTCCGACAGTCTTTGCGTCAGTAACTTCCAACACAGCATGAATGAAGAGATCTTCATTAAGCTCGTTTCCAATGGTTTGCCATTTCTGAAGAAGCCTGCTGGCTCCTTGTTCTAATGTGTATCTAACACTGAATAAAGTTAAAGTTGAGGGAACTGGAACCAGTCGAAGTCTCCAGGAGAAAATTACTCCAAAACTTGCTCCACCGCCGCCTCTAATCGCCCAGAAAAGATCTTCCCCCATCGTTTTTCGACACAGAATTTTTCCATTAACATCCACTATCTTAGCATCAATTACATTATCAGCAGCCAAACCATATTTTCTGAATATGGTACCAAATCCGCCGCCGCTGATGTGTCCTCCAACACCAACAGTAGAACAACTTCCAGCAGGGAAGCCATAGAGCTTACTTTTCTCCGCAATTTTGTAGTATAATTCTCCAAGAGTTGCTCCGGACTCCACCCACGCACTTTCATTTTCAATGTCAACGCTAATGGATCGAAGATTGAAAAGATCAATTACGAGAAAAGGAACATCAGCTTCACCAACATAAGATAGTCCCTCATAGTCATGGCCTCCACTTCGAACTCTTATTTGCAAGCCATATTCTCTCGAGCAGATTACGGCAGATTGGATATGAGACACATGAAATGGAGTTATAATAAACCTGGGAAGGTTTGGTGTTGAAGTGTTCAGGAATCTGGCGTTCCGAATGGAAGATTTCCAGACGGATGAGTAATCAGAACTATTCCGGGTGATTAAAACTTGGGAAGTTTGATTAGACTGCTCTAAATGAGATGAAAAACATTGTAAAAAGCCTTTCTCTTGACCAGAATATGAAGTTACTGAGTCAAGTGAGATGAAAAGAATAAAAATCAACAACATCGTGTATGAATTTGCGAAACCCAATTTGATTTGTGCATTATATAAATTGTTGTTCTTGATCATTGTCAATGGAGAGGATATGGAACATAATTTTGCGAGAGAAATTATAATAAGTGTTAGAAAGTGTATTATTGCTCAATAAAAAATATAGAAAGTTAGGTAGAACTCTAAAATCTGTGGGGTGGTCAAAACGACGACCTTTACGCAATATAAATAAGTGGTTGCCTTACTCTTGTAGTCTTGTGTCATTCGAAGCAAATAATAATAATGAAAACTTTCATCAAATCCATTCAAGCTCTTTACTATTTCCTATAGCCTATAGCCTATAGCCTATAGTCCACTTTCTCTTCTTCCCAAAAATCTTCACATCCTTTCACTCCTCTTCATCAATAAACAAACTATACTATTTGAAACTCTTTTTCCAACACTCAAAACAGGACGCATCCCAATATCCTCTATATTTTCAAAACAAATAATCAAACTCCACCAACTCTTTTTCAAACACTCAAAATAGGACGCATCCCAATATCCTCTATATTTTCAAAACAAATAATCATGAGTGATATTGGAGCTGTGTTTGGCCATTTATCGAGCATAGTAAAATTATGACCGAGCATAGCCGTCCTACTATTCTGCTTCTCTTATTTAATGGAAAAAACAATAGCCCGTTTGGCATATTATTTTTACCTATATTTCTAATTTTATTATCAAAATATTTATTTTATTATTTAAAACATATTAATATATTTTTTAATTACTTTTAAACTCATTAAGTTTATTAATTTTATTAAATACCCTAAAAAAAGTTTAAAATTTAATAAAAACACGCCCAGCCATCCATACTTGCTAGATTCTGATAACCACCGTCGATGGTAGTCGAAATATATTACAACGGCCTACAAAAGACCGAAAATTGGTCGTCGTTGACCGACAACAACGATCATATCTTTGACCGTCGCTGACGACCAAATCTAGACTTTTTCCACCGTCGACGGCCAGATCTGGCCAAAAAAGGTCATATCGACGCCTTACCTGTCAGATCCGACCAGTTGCATCGTAACGCCATTTTTCAACCAGATTCTAGTGGTGGTGGCTAGAATTTGGCACTGTGGGTGGGTGGGTGGGTGGGGGTGTTTTTGTCATTTTATAAAATTTTTATATATTGGAGTGTTTAGTTAAATTAGCAAACCTAGGGGGTTTTTTTATAAATTTTTTTAATTTCGCCTCGTAATACTCTCGTTCAACTACCCAATATTATTCTCAAAATCTTATCCAAAATAATAAAACAAATGACCCTGGCTTCGTTTGGTTGGATTTTGGGAATACTACTTTTAGTATTCCCCAAAAAGTTAAACAGTAAAATACCCAAAAACTCACAATATTATTCAACTTTATTCAACATTTTTTAAACCCCCTAAATTTGTTAATTCAATTAAATACCCTTAAATATTTTTAATATTTTTGTTACGGCGACTCCGGCCACCCTCCGGCGGTGGTGGCCGGCTGTCCGTATTTGAGGGTGGATTGGGGGTGTTTTTGTTAACTTTTAATATTTTATTATAAGGGTTTTTTTGTAAAAAAACAAACATAGGGGGTATTTTACAATTTGTAAATCTAAATCGTAATACCCGCTCAATTCAACTTTTTTTTTAACTTTTTTCAAAAAACTTTTCCCAAAAACACAAAATTGTGAACCAAACGGAGCCTATGATTTTTGATCCATCAAAATGAGAACCTTTTTCCTCCCAAAATTTGAGGAAAGTAATAGTAATTGAAAAGGGACAAATTGTTCCTGAAGACACTTCCACTCTCACAACTACTCAAAAGAAAGCACTTGATGAGAGTTTATAAAAAGACTCCCAAACATTATTTTCTCTTCAGCAAGCAATGTGGAAGAAATTTTTTTGCGAATTATGGGTGTGACAATTGCCAAAGAAGCGTGGGATACGTTGCAGGAAGAGTTTTAGGGATCTGAAAAGGTACTTACTATTAAACTTCAATCTTTTAGAAGAGATTTTGAAAATCTTAAAATGGAAGATAATGAGTGTC